TGTGTCATGTAAATGTCTTCAAATATCATGATGCAACATTTTTTGTCATAATGCCCGCCCCTACAGTTAACCTGTTTTTCAACCAGATGACCTGAGCTGCATGCGCTAGATGTGCCATTTAGAGGAAACACTAGTGCTTTGAACATGCTCTCAGTACCCCTGTGGCCCCTCAGCTGGTGATGTGTATATCTATCAGGTTATAAATCCTTTGGTATGAGTACATAAACATGTCAAACACTTCCACGCTTCGAACATGGCAATAGGCGCCCTGTTTTATAGAGCAGTGCCAGAAATACACATTGTGTGAAGCAGCATGGACAGTCCAGAGAAAGGCCTACAGGTGTGTTGCCAGACATTCATTGCCACACCTGTCTTGCTGTGTGCAGGTGGCTGCTGTAAAATTTGCCTGCACATGAATAACAAATACCCGAAATGCCCTCTTGCATACCATGCTTTTTTGGCAACCCATTTAAATTTTCTTCTTCAGCAAAATGTTCATACTGGGTCCCTAAACTGATCTTCATGTGTGAACCTACTTAGATCCGTAGATGTTCATATGTTGGTCAGATGTTCAGATGTTCATTCATATATTCCTCAGTTGGTAACATAGTATGTCCAAAAGTTTGTAGACATCTGCTCCCTCAGCTTTTCTTCTAATATGAAGGGTGTTAATAGGGAGTTTGCTGCAGTAACAGTCTCTACTCTTCTGGGAAGGCTTTACACTAGATGTTAGAACATTGCTGTGGGAATTTGATTGAGCATTAGTGAGGTCAGGTACTGATGTTGAGTTCTGGATCACTACAGTTCATCCCAAAGGTATTGGATGGAGCTCCATCATTAAAGAAAACACAGTTCCACTGCTCCATAGCTGACACATGGTGCTCATGTGCTGCTCCAAAGCATCCCATTCTATTGCTCAAGGCTTTTCTATGGAGGTTACATATACAAACGTTGCGTGCATGCTTGAATGCCTGTCTTAGCAATAGGTGCTGGGGGATATAAGGTCATACAGTACAAGTTATGCTTTTAAATACATATTCCAGCCTTTTTCAGGTGCTAAAGCAACTTCCCATCGGCTTCTATTATAAACGTGTTTTGAGTCTAGTTTGCTGCTTTTTTACAGAGTAACGGGAAACATCAGAATTATTCTCCCTAGTAATAGACTATATACTGCACATGCAGCAAATAGAGATTAGGTTGAAAACCAATAGAGTATTTCTTTAAGAATATACCAATACATAGTGATTTAAGAGTCGAGCGGTCGCTTGAGTCTAAATTCATGTTCTTGGCACAGGCCAAGAATATAAGAGCAGTAAAGGCCCAGTGCAGTCCCTCCAATCTAGTAGTTTACAACAGACGCTGCTGTTTACAGTTGACTTGTTGATCGTAATACATTGTAAAACATTACTTTTCACACTGTAGTGATCATGATAATTATAAGATGATAGTAATGATGAGTTTCTGACAGCATGCTGAGGGATTGTTTACAACTCTGAGCTCTGTATCTAGTTATTTCTGGCTCTGCTAACACATACTTGTGTTTCTGTCATTACAGCAGGTAATCCGCTGGCTCAAGAAGGTCCTGAAACAGCTTATTTTTTACCTGCATCACCTCAAAAAACCAGCCAACCTCTTAAGAAACGAGACATGTATAAAAAGTTGGGTGTAATATAAAAGATGTATATGTTATGGTAACTGACTGAGCACTTTTCATTCATTTTAGTTACACGATCTCAAACCGCTTTACATGGTAAAACATACAAAAGATTAAACGTGAAGCTTTAAATGGAGCAGTATAATGACATTATTGGACACTATTGAATAAAAAGGAAATGTAATGCTACAAATTATACATAGTACTTACATTAGTAAGTTATATCGTAGCTCATAACTTAGACATACTACTCAGGAGTCCCTATTTTGTAATCAGAGTCATCCTTCAGTCAGTATTTTAGTTCTGACAAAGTTTTTCCAAACTAACCCCTAGAGAAAAGTACAGTCAGCTATAACTTACTTTAAAAATGTTTGTAGTTTCATGAAAATATTGAGATGCTAACTGGTTTCTATTACTACTGAGTTTTGTCCTTAATGGACGCCAGTGTTTGCTCTGACCTGCGGTGTTGATTTAGGCCGTGACCTGTGCCAGTTGACCCGTGCTGAACTGGAGACACCCCCGTGTTTTTGTTCCATCTCTCTGCCGCTCGCTAAGTGGCCTTGAGGCCAGCGTGCCGCGAGGGAAGTCACAAGAGTCCTACAGTAAACACTCGTAAAAAACCTCTCTCGGCCGGAGAGAGACAGCACAGAGTAGCAAACTAGTCATTTAGATGCAGTGCTGATTATAGCCATGTTTTGCACACATACTTAATGATGGTAAAGCGTGCAGAGAGTGCCAGCTAAGTCAGCAACTGCGAGATGTGTATAAAGCCTTGAAATATGGTGCCTTGGTGGTTCAGTGGGAGTAGTTATCCTGCAGAATAAATGTGGCTGCTCATGGCTGGGGGGCATGTATTAAGCAACAATATTATGTTCAGCACATCTGCCTCAACATGTCAGCCGATCCGCAGCATAGCCAGAATTTCATTGTAGGAGAGGCCTTGTTGCAGCTAGGAAGCATTATGTCCCAGAGACATAATCGCTACAGTGGGGAACCATCTCTCTGGTTGTGTCTTATCTTAAAAATTCCTAACCAGAGTGATACAAATTTCAATTTTAAGCACAAAACATCACTGCTGACCTCACGTTAAAATGGCTTACTGACAGGTAACGGCTAATTAATCACAGGCCTAACTTTTACAGCACGAGGGGTCGATGGTGAACTTTATTATTTATTTTTTTTGCAGTCTTTACAACTTACTTTACTACTTTCTTTACTATTTACCTCACTCATTAGCTATAGGTAGTAGCTTATGATAAGAACTAGTACAGTTCAGCTTTCCATAGTCTACAGAAACAGTCAGGCAGGCTAATGCTGTTCCAGTGTTGCAGTTGATACCAGAACTGGCGTAAAAATATGACTGTGGTATGTCTCCATGTAAATACCCCCAACTCCCCCCCTGAAAACTGGTGATGACCTATGGAGCTAGGGCTGAATGTTTTGGGGAACATATCTAATTGTGATTTTCCTGATCTGTATTGTGACTGCAATTTAAATTACAACTATGTTCTATAAATTAAGGTCCAAGCCTCTTGTTTTGGCCAAAAATATCCACCAGCTCTGGCTTGAGGATTGAGCTTTGGACACACTGTGCCAGACTGCCAGTTAGTTGTGGTTGTGATGTCACAGCACATGAACGTTTAGTAGACCTGTATTATAAGAATGCATTCTGTAACATCCTTACTGAAGACCCCTTAGAAAGACCCTCAGTGTTTAGACAGTTGAGACAGATAGTTGAAGCCCCTTTAGCGTTGATGGAAGTGGAAGAATAAAAAAAAAAAAACATTAAACCAAAAAGGTCGGTTGACCCTACATACCCCTTGGCCTACTAACACGAAAAAGAGAGAGAGGAAGAGAGAGAGAGAGAGAGAGAGAGAGAGAGAGAGATAGAGACAGAGAGAACACATAAATATACAGAGAAGGAAATGGAGGGCAAAAGAGAGAGAGAGCAAAAGAGAGAAAGACAGAGAGTTAGACAGAAAAGGAAGGAAAGAAAAGACGGAGAATGAAAACAGAGTGGGGTTTCAAAGCCATCGCAGCTGCAGCGGTGAACTCAGCAAACCGAAAAAGACGAGGGAGAACGAGGGGGGGTAATCATACCTTCCCTCTAGTCATCTCTCCTCCCAGCCAATTAACATAGCCATTTCCTTCAAATTCGGAAGGGGAAATTGACTGTGATAAAGCTTGCCAAGATAAAAGCCCACTGCTTAGATGAGAATTCCAAATCTAGGTCTAAAATAGTGTTGTGCAATAGTTTGGGATAAAGACAACTGAAACTTTTTCATCACGTTAATATGCTCCCTACTCACCATTAACATTCTCCCTGATGAGATTTTGTTTTCTCCACCTCCTCCCTGTCCTCTGTGACCGCTCCGCTCCAGTAGTGGACTAGATTTCTCATGGGTTTTCCCCACTTTTGCACTTTGGCAACCCCTCCTCAAATCTCAGTCGACTGACCCTCAGAGGTTGCGAGCTGTTAGTTTCATTTTGCTGTAGTACTCAAATGTAACTACATGAATAATTTAGTTACGCGGACTTACTTTGCTCTGCTTAAAGCTTTAGCTCAGCTGTAGCTGCTTTTCTCGCATCTCCAGCAGGAAACGTTTCCACAAAAGTAGAATAGTTTCTTGTAAAACGTCTCTCAATATTGGACTTTTTACAAGGCTGAAGTCAGTTTCTCGTCCTCCAGCTTCTTGTTTGAATTTTCCCATTCCACCTTACATGGTGCCTGAGGTGCCAGAATGTAACTGCTGCACCATGTAAGGTGGAATGGGACAATTAGAACGAGAAGCTGATTCACTTTTTACTTTTTGACAGTTTTTTTGTTGCAGATTAAAAGTATCAGGAAACCAGCTGGAGTGATTATAAACACAAATAAACCCATTCATCTCCAAATTATCGATGTTTGTCTTAAATCTTTCTCTTTGCCATTTCATTAGCTACTAGCTAGGCAAGATTCTTGTCTGTGTTGCTATGGTGACCAGCAGTCTGTGTGCTGATCTTCAGGGTTAAAGTGTGAATTAGCAGTTCTACATTAACTCCAGAATTTAAGACCATTTAGTGTTAAAACTGTGTTGAACGATCAGCAGAGCTTTATTTTACTGTAAAGGAGGATTATTTTATTTTTACCTACAAATCTAATTCTGCTGTGGAGCCACAACAGGACAGTAGAAGAGCCGCATGTTGCCGGCTATTGTTTGCACTTCCAAATGGAAATAGAAGTCTATCCACTTTGCTTCAGTTCTCTTTGCTTAACCACATTCAACATAACTCATTATGTTAGAACCTGTCTGCATTGAAATAACTGATAGTATAAGTGATTGACTGCTCTTGTCTACATTGCTAGGCATGGCCAGAGAAGACTCACCATTATAATTTGAAGAAGAGAGGAGGACAGCCGTATGTTCAGGACACTCTGAAGAAAGACTCGGACCAGGAGAGGGAGCAGCCCCACGCAGACCTGCCCAACAAAAGCACTGCTGACTGGAACAGGCCACGATGTGGAGTTCCAGACTTCCCTTCAAAGAAGGGAGACTTCCATCATTACCGGAACCAGAGAGGAAGCCAGTATGGGGGACGGCACCGACGCAAGCGCTTCGTTCTGTATGGGGGGCGCTGGGACAAGACTGACCTCACCTACAAGTAAGATGTCTCAACTCACCAGCAACATGTTTTAGTGCATTTCTTCTGACAGATACTAAAATGTCTTGTGACTGCGGCCTAGGACACACTGCTCCTCCAACATAGTCGTGACTGACTGAAGTCCCGCCCCACATTGTTTCCTGTTGGCTGAGTATGTTAGAGTACACTTTGACAGCTCTGTTGAACTGCTGAACTCTTTTTCAGTGGACAATGAAGCGTAATTTTCATGTACTGTCATGCGTTGACGCCTGCTGTTTGTCAAAGCTTTGTTTTTAAATGGACACCAAAATCTCCCAGCCTTTATTACAAGGACATTTTGGTTTCCATCAAAAACACGTCTTGCCAACATTTCAGTGAGAACAGTGCATTGGCAGAAACAGACGCTGACGTAGAAAAGTGCAAAAATGATACACTGTTGTTGACTGAAGGCTCACTAGAGTGGATCTTCTGACATGAACAGGCATCAGCCAATAGCAGATGGTCTGGGGTGGGGACAGTTCACGTTTAATAACAGCACTACAACTAAAAAGTCGATGTTACATGTTAGAAAAACTGATAAATACTGATTTAGACTATGACTGTATCCTCAGCTATATGCTGCAATTTTGAGTTTGCTTGAAAATATTAGTTCATAAATGTAAACCTAACTGTTAAAAAGTTGCATTTACTTGTTTTCAGAATAAATCAAACCAAGCTGGCCAAGATAGCGCTCAAGTAGACAGCCAGCAACATTTATTTTGTCTGGATACCACAGCGTCAGTGTCATCAGCAAGGAGTGTGAAGGCTTCTCCTGCAGGATATGCTAGAGTGAGGATATAGAACTGCATCACTGGCTGTGTTTACATGCATAGATTTTTGCCCATCCGACTGAATATATTCTGATTATAGATTAAGACTGAGGTGTTTATTCTCACTCTCCTCAACAATCTGACGGAAAATCTCTGTTTACATGCTCACTACAAGTAATCCGATCCAAAATCACGAGCATGCTTAGAGTGCCACTTAGTGTAGACGTTACCATGACAACCAGCATTACGTGAGTCCAGTCAGAGTGAGACGAGCAGCAGTGAGCAGTGCTTGTGTTTTTAATTACTTTAAAATGATGTCAGACTCAGGAAAACGTCCTTCACATGTCCTTATTAAAGAAGGCCGAGAGGAAGACGTCGTGTTCTGAGACACATAAGTTGGACACCTGTCTCACCGCCGTCTTTTAAAGATCAGAGCATAAACTTTCGCTATGACGTGACGAACGTGATCAGAACGTACTTAAACTTTCAGATTGGGAATGTAATCAGATACAGGCGTTTACACGGATATTATTCTTCTATTTAACAGATTATTTATAAGCCACCTCATTGAATCGGATAGAAATCGTATTCCGATTGGCCTCAATCTGACTAGTCTATTCCAATTGAGGTGTTAGTGAGATTCTTAACGGATTATCAGGCTGCATGTAAACGTGGCTATTGATGGAATATTCTGGAATAAACTACATGTCAATAAACATGTTGAACTGGCAGATTTACTGACTTAACTGTAAAGTATTTTGGAAAAAAAAATCAGCGCTTGCTTCTATGTTTGGCCTGCAGTGTATTAGTGGAAAGCTTTGATGCGCTGCCTGTTAGAGCAGAGCAGACTGTCTCTGTACTGTTGTGGGCCCCACACAGAACAGACCCCTCTGGCCATACTAGAGGTGACTTCTCATTTCCTAGCAACTCTCCTCATCACAGACAGCTCGGCTGCTCATAGCCCACATATTAAAGTGTTTATGAAAAGCCCAGCGCAAGTGACATTTCACAGCGAGCGAGCGCGGCGTCCGGGGAAGAGTGTAGGCTGTGTTTTGCTCTTCTTCCTCCACTTCCATATCAGAAACATTCCCCTTTTTTTCTAGGCCACCCAGGATTGAAGGGTTTTATGTGTGCCATCCGGACGTTCCCGCTCAGACAGTCAGATGTAACATTCCACTCAGTCTTTATCTGTTCTCAAGAAGAGCAATCATTCTCATTCCTTCCACTTTTACACCCTCTTAATTAAAAGCCGTAAATGTATCTTCAGCGCTGGTTCAGGTATGAGGTCAGCTCGGCTTCAAAGACACAGCCACAAACACGCCAAGTCTGTATTTGATTCAGGTATTCCAAACACAAACATGCAGAGAATCAAATCCACTCCAACTAGTAGTGTCAATATCTGAACATAACAATTAGATTATGGTAATCTCAAATCTTACCACAACTCGATTTAGATGATTTTTAAACCACACTTAATACACCAGTGGGGAACCCTCAGGGACATCTAGGCCTGATCATTTTTGGGAAGTGAAAAACATGTCTGTAATTTAGTTCATGTTTATTTCAAACTGCACTGTGTAAGTTTTGGGGATTTGGAGACCTCTCTGGTGGAAATTTGTAATTGCACACAATGTGCAGAAGAACATCAGATGAATCCGATAAAAGAGTATACAAACAGAACTCAGTCAAACTTGGCGAAATACCTTCTTTTAATGCCTGAGTGTGTGATGTTAATATATGAAGACATACATTGCCTGAAAAACTCCCAAGAAGTCTGAGCCAATGCCTGATTGATTATTGGTAGCTTTACAATGTGAATCACACCTTTTTCATATAAAGGTGCAGCTTTCATACAATCATCATGCTTGTTATATATTACAATCATTCCATTGTTGCTTTGGTTGGTGATATAGGATTAAAATCTTGAAACAGCCAATAGAAAATGATCTAATCGGGATTTTTCTTCCTGTGGTATGTAGGTAGATGCAGCCTTCAGAAGCCAGACAGAAGGCCTTACACATTAGATTAGCTGTGAACATAATTAGTGATAGTGAAATCAACCAATCACGTTTTGACCTAGAGTGGGTGGGGCCAATTTTGTAAGAAATGCTTCTGGGTGTTCTTGATACATGAATACGGGCTGAGGTCTAACCAACTTTCATTGAGTTGTTAGGAATGAAAAACAGTGGCAGCAGCTCTGAGCCAGGACTCTTTACTGAAACTGATACAAGGTAAAATAAATGTTAATGTTTATTCCAGACTTCGTATAAACTATATGGATGTTTTTTACAAGATTCAAATGTCCTTATTTAATCTAGGATAGCCCAAAATGTTTATGTGCATGGGCGTTAATATACTATTAGAAATCCTATAGTGGAATATAAACAATAAAAACTATACAATAAGCTTTTTTGAAAATAGTCTGAGAATTTTACTTCAGCCCAAAATGAAAGAACTCTTTTCGATTATTGTTCTAACTGATTTTAATCAATCGTAACATTACAAAATCAACAGCACTGAAATGGCCTCTTCAGAGTAGTGCACCACCATGCATGTCTCCAGCGTTCTCAGGTCATTGCTCGTGTTCAAAGAGGTGTTCATTCATTGTTTTTCACGGAGCTTTTGCGATTGACGCGATGACCTTTCCCTGGGGGTCGTCTCCGCCCAGCGCTGATGTTTTGACTGACCTGCCTCCTCCATCTCAGTCAGCGGAGGTTCTCCACCGGACATTTGCCTTCCCCCTGTAATTTGAAGGCAGTGGGGTCGCGACCCCGGCAGGAGCGGACGGCGCATTGCGACGCGATCATGCGTGTAACGGCAGCAGAACCCACATGGTTCCAGTTTCCCCGCCACCACTCGGCAGGAGATAAGGGGCCCTTTAACCCTTTAAACCCTTTCGGCTGTGGATTCAGTGTTTCATTGTTCACTCTTACAGCTGCATAACTTACAGATTAGTTTCATAGCAGCTGTTCAGTTTGATTACAGTCCTTTACAACACAATTTAGTACGTCATGAACTCTCAAATAGTTTTCACCTGTTTTGGCTAAATAATTGCATTTCTATATTATGAATATGATTATAGTGATTATAATCAATTTTAACATTCCAAAACTGACACAGTCTTCAGGTCAATGCACCACAGTGTATCGATCCAGTATACACTTTTAGCAGTTACTGAATAGTTCACAGTTGTAGCTAATTAGTCTCAAGATTAATAACTGAATAATAAACCTAGGGCTTAAAGGGTTAAGTCTAGGAGAAGCTGTCTGTCCAATGGAGCCACATTGATTAACCCCCCCCCCCTCCTCTTTTGGTTTATGGCCCACTTGCTGGAATCATGACCCATAAATCTCTGCCCTCCATTCAGCTCGAGCACAGCGCTTTAGATTAGACTGTCCTGTCCAGCCTCTTCCATAAAGAGCTGTGCTGCCTCATCACATTCTTAAAGAGAGAGAGAGAGAGAGAGAGCGAGAGAGAGAGAGAGAGAGAGAAGAAGACAGAGATAAAAAGAGAGAGAAAAAAATATAAAGAGAGAAAATGGATATAGATGGAGAGAGAAGAGATAGAAAAAAAGAAAAAATGAGAGAAGAGATAAAGAGAGAAAAGAGACAGAAAGAGACAAAGAGAAAGAGGTAGAAAGAGGAGAAAACAGAAAATAGAGATACAAAGAGAACAGAGATAGAAAGAGATAGATAACAAGAGATAGAGAAAAAGGTAGAGAGAAAAGGGATACAGAAGGAGAGTGAGGAGATAGATGGTGAGAGAAGAGATAGAAAAGGAGAGAAAAAAAGAGAGAAAAGAGATAAAGAGAGAGAAAGATGGAACAAAGAAAATGCTTGAGACTATAGAGATAAAGAGAGGGAGAGAGAGAAAATAGATAAAATGAGAAGAGAGAAAAACGATTGAGAGAGAATAGAGGGAGAGAGAGAGAGAAAAGAGACAGAAAGAAGGAGGGAAAAGATATAGAACAGAGACAGGGAGAGTAAGAAGAGACGGAAAGAGAAGAGACAGAAAAAATAGAGAAAATAAAAAGATTGAGAGAAGAGATGAAGAGAGAAGGAATGGAGAGGGGAAAGGAATAGTGAGAACAGATAGAAAGAATAGAAAAGAGATACAGTCAGGTTGAAAAAAGAGAGAGTGAAAAGAGAGATACAGAGAGAAAAACAAATTGAATTTACTTTTTAAATATATTACATCAACACAGCATCACAGTTATGTAATATATTTTATTAAAATGGAAATTATGTACACAAATAAACAGAAAGCATCACTATTCAATGTGGAAATAGAAAAAAGAGAAGAGTGCCCGTCTTTAGGTTGTGAGTCAGTGCTGAGGTCATGTCCTGATGACTGTTAATGATGGACTCTGTGAAGCCTGTATTCAGCAGAAATGCTGATGTAGGATCAGATTCCTCCTCCGCGTGGAATGAGCTCAGTCACAGGTCCTGGATCAGCACTCCTGGTCCGAGAGGTTTTATGAATCCCAGCGCAGGGCTCCCTCTCCGGGTGGGGAACGGTGGGCCCCAGCTTTAATGAGAGTCTGACGGCTCCCGGGATTTGTCATTATGCCTGAGACTTGGCTTTAAGCTGTAGTGTATTATCACTGCTGCAGTACCTCTATCTGACATGTCTGCATCGTAGGTTAATTATCGTGGATCAGAATTACTACATGCTTCCCTGTAAGAGAAGCGTTACTGAAGCAAATCTCATTGGCTTCAATTATAACACTAAAAAATGTTGAATTTACTTGATTCCAATGTGTACATTGGTTCTACATGAATGAAATGATATTACGTCAGCATGATCACTGTTATTAACATTACTTACTTTTGGCAAATGTGTTAATGTATTTTATTCACATGCACACTTGAATCAAGTAAATTCAGTGAGTTTTCAGAGTTCACATTACAAGCCTCATTTCTCAGATCCGATCTCTCTGACATGATGGTTCACACTTGTTTAAGTAAGTGACTCAAATCTGTCATTAATGTGACGAACCGGCGTCCTGAAATGACCCTCATAAGCTCATCCTACTCAGTAACGTCACGTGAATGAATCACGTGCATCATCAGCACAAACTAACGAGCAGAACGAGCTTCGCTGAGAAGATAATTAACTTTGATCAGCTCTCAGCTTCATTATTAGAGCGAGACGAAGGAGAAAAAGGTGAGATGTGTTGCTTTTCCACCGTTTACAGGCTTTAACTTCTGTCCGGCGCTGCTGCCATGGTAACGCTGAATGATGGCGCACGCGCTGTGGAAAAAAAGCACATGAATTCAGATCTGAGCGTCACATTAAGGTCGCATGACCACAAATCGGATACGTATTTAATCTAGGACCACATGTGAAAGTGGCTCATGTCGGATTTGAAAAGATCAGATTTGCGTGTCCACATCTCTGAAAACATCAGATCTGAGCCACATTAGGGCAAAAAATCAGATTTGTGCCACTTTAGCCTGGTAATGTGAACGTAGCCTAAAAGCTTCTTTGCAGAAAGTTATTAGATTAAATGATTATGAATGCACTGCCTGATGCCTGAGACATTGTTTTATGGTAGTTTTGAGATTAGGTTTGGTCTAGTAATAATAATAATAATAATAATAATAATAATAATTTAGTTTCAGAGAGGTAAATGCAGGTTGTTGTGAGGCAAAACAGTACCCAAAGAAAACATATTTTTTCAGATGTATCACTATTTTACCATCATCAGCATTCCATATAAAACTCGTGTAGGTTCACTGGTGGTTTGGATAGTAAATAAAATGGCTTTCATTGTAAACGTTGCGACACCTGGTTCCTATCACCACCGCTGTAAATAAAACCAAGTCTGTAGGCTTCTCTTTCACATCAGACCACTCTGACCTAACGAAATATGCAGAAATTGAGAAAAACCAGTAGAATTCTTTTCTTTTGTGTTACAGACTACCTTTTTGAGCAAGCAAACATATCAATATTCACAATTCAGCGCCCTTTTATTGTTACTCTGATGAAACAAGTCAATAATAAATGTTTCCACAGTGATGTAAATTGTGTTCTGAATGTGTGCACACGCTCAGAAACTATTGAAGTGCATCCACCAATGAAGGCAGCATGGAGCTTCTTTTATACAGTGATAGGAAACAGCAGCTCACAGAAATCTCCAATTCTATACACTGATCTGTTTTATTATGACTAGCGTGGACCTATATGCTCACCAACTACTCTGATGAAGGAGGTCGGGGTCATATTGTACATTTTTCTTATTCGTCTTTCACGTCCCCAAACTCACACCAAACTCACCCAGCCAGGCCTTTATGGACCTTGCTTTGTGCACTGGGGCTCAGTCATGCTGGAACTGAAAAGGTTCTTCCCCAAACTGTTTCCACAAAGTTCTAAGTGTAGAATTGTCCAAAATGTCTTGGTGCTGAAGTATTAAGATTTCCCTTCACTGGATCTAAGGGTTCTAGACCAACCCCTGAAAAACAACCCCATATCATCATCCCTCCTCCACCAAACTTTACAGCTGGCACAGTGCAGTCAGGCAGGTAACGTTCTCCTGGCATTCACCAACCCCAGACTCGTCGATCAGACTGACAGATAGAGAAGCGCGATTTGTCGCTCCACGGAATACGTTTCCACTGTCCAGAGGCAGTGTGCTGTACACTACTCCCACCGCTGCTTGGCACTGTGCATTTTGATCTTAAGCTTATGTGTAGCTGCTCAACCATGGAAACCCATTTTATGAAGCTCCTAACACACAGTTCTTTTGCTGATGCTGCTTCCAGAGGCAATTTGGAACTCTTTAGTGAGTGATTTAACAGAGGATAGACACTGTGCGCTTCAGCACTCAGCAGCCCCACTCTGTGAGTTTGTGTGGTTTACCTCTTCGTGGCTGAGCTGTTGCTGCTCCGACGTGCTTCCATTTCACAATAATAGCACTTTCAGTTGACAGGGGCAGATCTAGCAGGACAGAAATTTCATATACTGACTTGTGGCAGAGGTGGCATCCTATGACAGTGCCATGATTAAAGTCACTGAGCTCATCAGTACGACCCTCTACTGCCAGTGTTTGTCTATTGAGACTGCAAGGCTATGTTCTTAATTTGATCCACCTGTTAGCAATGGGTGTGGCTAAAACACCTGAACTCAATAAATAGAAGGGGAGTCCCAAAAATTTTGTCCATATATGGTAAATATTGCCCTGAATGTATCTTGTCGTGCTTGAAGTCCCCTGGTGTGTAAATGAAGTAAAACTAGGATTGGAGTTTGGCATAGTGGGTCAGCGCATGCAGTGGTCATGCATTCATATAGAAAGAAAAAATGTCATGCCTTTAATCAATAACAACTGACAAATCGATAAGTGGTTCCAGACCTGTTGACCACAGTTCAGAAGGATGAATCAGGAGCTAGAGGAATATTTTTATTGTTATATTGCCGCTGTCATAACAAAACCTCATGTCTCCAAAATATTGATCTTATAGGAGAAGGAAAAATGTGTTCTTAACATTAGTGAAAGTTATTGTAAGGTAAAGGGCAGCTGTTATTATCATGAGGTGTAACATTTAAAATGAAAACAACCAAAAAACGAGATATTTGATATGGCAGTGACAATATATTGGAGGATTAACCTTACAAACCGATAAGCTGTTACATTATAATAGCTCATAGCTGGAAAATACAGCACAGGGATTTACTAAGAGATATGACAGTGTGTTTTCATTGCTGAGCCTGAGGTGCTGAAAGAGACGTTTCTGGTGACTGATATTTCCATTCACAGCCATGAGGATAAACCCTGAGTACTCAGTAACCCTCACATGTCCCACTCACACTCTCAGATGTATCAGATGTCCAGGCTGCTGTTGGTGCTGTCTGTGTCTGTGATGCAGGCTGCAGATTAGTGAGTGCCAAAAAAGCACAGTTTTGTGGTTCATGAGTCACGGTCTTGCCTGCATGCTGGCAGACGCTCCATACGCTGGGATTATTACCGGGGAAGTACAGCACGGGTTAAAATAAGGTTGTGTGGGTGGTCTTTAATGCTGTTTTTAAACTTTTTATGAAATGAACCAATTTGTTGTAATAAGGTTTCAACTGTGTTCGGGACCTTTATTGTTGCTATTCTCAATATAAAATTATGTTAAAAGCCAACTGCAAAAATGCAATATATATATCGTTGCTGTCAGAACAAAATCTTGTCCAAAATGGTCAAAAATTTAAGAAGGAAAAAGATGTTCTTAAAGGGTAATTCCAACAATTTTCTGCATATCTCAGTAACTGAGATGTAAGCACAGTCATTCTGGTGGTTTGGTGTGAAATGGTTCATTGTGGGGAAATATATAAACATACTTTACTTTTAATGTAAGTCAGTGGAACCAGACTTTTTTCCAAGTAATTTTGTGCTATTTCTTTTGGTCCATTCATCATAAAATTTCCACACAATGTACAGTTACGGTACAATGTACAGTTTGTAACAGTAATATGTTATGAAATAAAAGCTATGATATGTACAGTTGTACACATTTACATATATGCAATTAGTGGTTTATATATATATGTCTGTGTATATATATATATATATATATATATATATATATATATATATATATATATATATATATACACACATTCTAAATTATAGAAGATATGGACAAAAGAAGTACAAAATATATGTGCAGGTTTAGATTTGCTAGATTAAAGTTACAGTAAAATCATAGTGAGTCTGTTTGAGGTGGCCTAAACTTTCGCACAGTACTATATATGGTATATGTATACTGCCAAATGCACTGTTGGAAAAAGGGAACTGTTTCAAGGTATAAAAAAATGTGAGTTTACCCTGGAAGGTACAACATGGTCTTTAAAGGCTCATTGTGTGTCTTCAATGCGTTTTAAAGGTACATCCACATTTTCAGTTGTACCTTTTCATGACTCAGGTTTGGAAAAGTGTGGTCTATAATGTGCGACTGTGTGTGTTTTAGGATCCTACGGACACCGTCGCAGGTGAGATTGGAGAAAGTGCGGCAAGTCTTTCAGGAGGCCTTAAAGATTTGGAGCGAGGTCACCCCCCTGACCTTCACTGAGGTCACCGGAGGCCCAGCTGATATCATCATCGACTTTGTCAGGTGAATCCCCACTCCTCTGAATCATGCGCACTTTCCGACAACTTGTAGATAACAGGTGCTCGGGTTTTCCACAGTGATCTCAGAGGTACCTCTGTGGTTTTGGAATTTCCAAAACACTTACGCCTGGAGCGCATTCTCACGGAATAGCAGCTTCATTCGTTCAATAACGCCTTAATGCCCCAAACTCTAGTTTTATTTTTCAGTTATTGATCCATTAAGCCAAAAAACATGATATATAAAGTATTATTATAAGCACTAAAGAAGCCTTTAATATTGTTTAAAAATAATGCTGATTTTTATACCTTTAATGCATTTTCCTAGTTTGACCCTTTAACCCTTATGTGGTGTTCAGGTCTGTGGGACCCATTCTCAATTTATACCAAAAGAACACATTATTTTAATGATTCGTTTATCATTATTTTAACCTCAGATTATTTGGTCTTTGCTCATTTTCTGTGAAGAATGTATAAAATAATACATTTTCAGTCTTCACACTGTTCACCCCCTACACATTTATATTACACATGGTGTTAGGCGAACCCGTGTTGAATTAAAGTGTGGAGGTGCTGTGTCCTTCACTCTGTTCTCCTCCTACATGGCCTGCTGTGTGTGTGTCTGTGTATGTATGTGTTTGTATATGTGTGTGTGTGAGGGTGGACAACATGGACAGGCTGCTGACTGGCTACAGCTGCTAAAGGAGAACCCTACACTGGCCACTTGTGATATTTTAAACATCTGATATTTTTACATAAATTGTTATGGCTATATATATATATGCGCATTCACTGGCCACTTTATTAGAAACCCTTCTGTTGCAGCTCTTCCTTGCTAATGTTCAGTTAGAGGAGACAGAAGCTCATTTTACCACAGAGTCGCTCCTGTCTGAATATTTTTGGGTGGAGGTCCACTCTCAGCCTAGCAGTGACACTAATGTGTCTAAAACTCCAGTTAGAATGGACCTCCACCCAAATAATATCTGGACAACAGCTGTCCTGATCAGAAACTGACCAGTGATGATGTGGATTGTAAACCAAACAGATGGGCTACAGTCAGTACATAAACACCCATACAGTGGATCAGGAATGTAGATTAAGGGTTAGCTTATACTTAGAGTGCATTGTTAGCACTGCTTTCCTTTCATAAATCATAAGCCATTGTTTAACTCCTAAATCACAGAGTTGCATCTCTGTCCAGCTGCACACACAGGAGGGAGAGGGTATTCATACCACTGCACAAACACAGAGGCTTCTGTGACTAAGAAGATGAGAGATCAGAAGATAGGAGATAATCTGCACTGCATCTCTAACGTACACACACACACACAAGCTTGTTTTTATACCTTATCAGGACATGGGGTCATACTCATGCCCCATATGTATTATTTAGATAAGTAAGAACATACATGTAATAATTATATGTACCATATTATGAGTAGTAAATTTTAGTGCACTATTTCTATTTATTTGCTGGGTTTTGCATGTAGGGACACAATAAAACATTACACATAAAATGTGTCATAACTTTTGCACAGGACAAATTATATATATATATATATATATATATATATATATATATATATATATATATATATATTTGTTACCCCGTATGTTATAATCAACATATAGAAATGTTTTCTCTGTAGAGGACGTGCTTTTTACACATAGAAAATCAACAGAAACATGGAATTTGACTAGGGGTGCATAAACCTTTGCATACTACAGTATGTATATATATAATATGTATAGCAATATAATATGGCCCCTACAATGTACATATTTACCTACATAAGTACCTATGTAATAATAACATGACCCATATGCATTTTGATGAGCATTTTCATATGTATTATATATATGTAAGTACCTATATATAATAACCATATGACCCATAGGTGTTATACACATCGCTGTTGTCAGAACAAAACCTGGAATCTCCAAAATGGTAACTTTACAAGAGAAGGAAAAAAAAAAAAAACATACTTTACTTTTAATGTAAGTCAACTGAACCAGAATATTTTCCAGTTTTTTGCCATTTTCTTTGCTCTATTCATCATGAAATTTACAAACAATATAAAGAACAACAGGTATTTTCAAATTATGTCAAAAACTGAAAAACGACAAAAATAGAGAAACGAGGTTTTGTCCCAACAGCAGCGATATGCAAGTACCTATATGTAATAAAAATATGACCCATATGAATTGTACATATCTAAGTACCTATATGTAATAATAGTAACGTGACCTATATTTATTACATATATTAAAGTAACTGTGTAAATACAGCTTTTAAATGGACAGTTCCATGACAAAAAGTCATGGAAGTCAACAATGCAAAGTCATCATCTATCCTGAAAATGTAAAAAAAAAAAAAAAGTTCACATAAACACGTGAGCGTGTACACACAGAGAGAGACCCGTTTTCTTGGTTAAATGAGAGTGGGTGAAGAGGAAGGTCATGCCTGCACACACCTGTCAGGTGTTTTCCTCAGACTGCTGTGTTATGCCCTGCACACAGAGACCCAACACACACACGCATGCTCAGAATCCCGCTCTCTATTATCCTTTCTCTCTCTTTGAAAAGCTAACGTGAATGTTGCAAAGCAGGACTTGTTTTGCTGCACTTTATTAGCGCTGGGTGCCTTCGAGGGATGTTTTTTTTATCTTCCTCCCCGCTCCAAATATGCACGGGTTTGGCATGCAGACAAGCGCTTCAGATTCACCCTACTTTTAAAAAAGCGCCCGTTTACAGTATTCACCTACACGCCAGACCTGTATAAGTACTTTTATGCCTCTTTTCACAGCGGATTCTGTTTCCTTCTGAAGAGACTTATCTTTAATAAGTGCATTCTAAAGCCCAGGGGCTTTTCCCCCCCATGCAGTTTCACTGTTGTAATATAAGCCCTTTGTTCCTGGCATAAATCCTCCTGCTGAAAGGCTGATGCACATGAGTTGTTGCATTTTACACACTCGTTTGCTTTCAGCTATGAAAGAAGTCTATGTCATTTTCTCTCTGAGTAGAGGAAAATGCTTATGTGAAAGCCTAAATGTAAAAGTATGGTGCCTGGATCAGAGCCTTTATCATGCCTGGGCCTGTGAAGCTGATTCAGTCAGACTGCATTTATATGATAGAAATAGACCGGGTATGTGTCCAGATTTGCTATAGTACTGTGGATATGAATGTGTGACTTATTTTGCAAGTCAGCTTCTACACACCAGTCCTGATACCCTCAGTGACCCATACCCAGTTATGCAAAAGCGCTGTAGTGAGTAGATTATGTTCCATGTTGGTGGGAATGTGCCAGCTAACAATGGTCTTTGTGCTGCAGTTATAGGAAAGCTGCCAGATGAATGTCTGTGAAAGTTCTAAGTCAAAAAGATTACTGGATTATTTATAGTAAGTCAAGGTGACTGGATTTGGTGTTATTTCGAAGGCAAAAGTTTAACCCCTTAAAATCCCAGCCTTATTACATACTAAGGCTTATTATTCAGCAACTACAGGGACACCAATGCAAACCAGTTACTCTTGGAGTTATTTTTAGGTTATAGAAACGTGTAATAAACTTTGGGCCCACTGATGGGCCATTTAGGGGGTTAAATAATGCTAAATGTTCCCACTTCTCATGTAAACAGCAAGAGCTTGAAACTTTTAGCCCAAGTCCAGCTGCATTGACTACAATGTAGTATGTAGTATTCTACATATCACTGTTGTCAGAACAAAACCTCATATGGGGGTGGCCGGTAGCCTAGTGCTAGGGAAGTAAGCCGTCAACTGGAAGGCTGCGGGTTCAAATCTCATGACTGGCAAGGCACACAAGGCACCTATCCCCCCACTGAGCTGCCCTGCTGGCGATGACAAATACCAAATTTCCCTTGTAGGACCAATAAAGTACATAACATCTTCAAACTGTAACTACAGCTTAACTTTCAATGTAAGTTAATGTAGCAATTAACTTTTCCAATATGTTAAACTCTACAAATAAATACAAATCATGTACTAAAAAGTGTAGAAAAAAAATGCCAATTAACTTTTTCTCTGTAGAGGATGAGTTAACTTATTTTCACTCTGAAAATCAACAAAACGTGTAGTTTGACCAGGAGGAGACCTTTGTATACCGTTGCTGTATAGCAAAACATGTCTTAGCCATCAGGTAGCATATGTGTAACCAGTTTATGTAATAGTTTCCTTTGATGCGACTTTTAGCGGCATTCAATTCTTCAGACATCTGATTTGTATCATCACCGCTGAAAACAATTCTGACTCGCCGAATTTCTGTAATTAGGAGCATTTCACCTGAAACCACTCACCTGAAAACACTTGATTGAATTATGAAAAAAAAAATTGGAAAAATTGGTGGAATTTTCTTTTAATGTCACCTTGACTTTTCCCTGGGCCCTTAAAGTAACCCTCGCTCTAACCTTTACCTTAACCTCAACCCAGAACTTAATCCTAATTCTAACCTTAAATCAGTTCTAATCCTAGTCCTACTCATAACTCTTGTTCTAACCCTGACCATAATGCTATTGAGACTGCTTATGAATGATTTGAGCATCGTCTATAGAGGACTATTCAAATAATATAGGAGCGGAGAGAGTTTGCAAACAAGGCGGACATCGGTGGGTCACAGCTACACCCCTGCCCAGATCTGTTGTCACTTTCAGTGATTACAGGTGAAAGTGTGCTGTTAAAGATCTTTCAGCAATGAACTCACGAAGATCACTAAATGAGATCTTTGCATCTTTAAGGCTGATAATAATCCAATAGGCATAGCCATAAGCGGGAGATAATGCCTTTCATTGTCTTGTTGTCTGAGCCACTGTCTGTGATATTTTAGGTACTGGCATGGAGACAACCTGCCATTCGACGGTCCAGGAGGAATTCTGGCCCACGCCTTCTTCCCGAAAACCTACCGCGAGGGAGACATCCACTTTGACTATGACGAGGTTTGGACATTGGGAAATAATATGGGTAAGGGAGAATGCAAATGACAGCTGCACAATTTGAACATTAAGTGCATACATTAGCTTTGTTGCACATTTCTGTAGAAATGCTGCAGACTGACCATTTTGATTCAACCCCCTCTACTTTGGAATATTAGGACCCAATCCCATTCCTTATTTTTACCCCTACCCCTTGTTTTCGTGTCATCTTGCCTTTTGGAACTGAGTTACAAGTGGTAGTGGTTCAAATCTTCCTCTATGAAATGAGACCCTCAAATAAAAAGAACATTACTTCATTAACAGCTACCAGCGCTGCTCTGTAGGCAACCCTGCCAGTCTGCAGTGACAGCAGAGGAGGGTAAAGTTCAGCTCCTCACTGCTGGGCTTTAGTTACATTTAGGGCATCATATGCCTTCAAAGAGGGGGTGAGAGAATTATTTATTATCGACCACCCCTAATTCTTCTGTGATATGAAGCTGAAGTCAGCTATCCGCCAGCTTCTTTGTTTGAATTTTCCCTGTCCACCTTAAATGGTTCCACCTTAAATAGTTGAGCTAGCTAGCTACAGAGACATCAGCATACTGCTACTGATTTTTTATGCTTGTTATGTAGAAAAGGACCATAAAACATTGAAATGACATTACATTAAGATAACACAATGGTTATTGTAATTTTTAACAGATAAAATTCTCACATTTGTGTGTTTCTTTGGTATCTTGTTCAGCCGTCGTGCTGTTTTTTCTTTTTTCCTCATAACACTGTTTGGAATGTACCTCTGAAAAACCTCCATTTGGAGGGCCATGTAGCCCTAACACTTCGCCCTACCCCTCTATCTCAACAACAATCGGGACACCCTACCCCTAGATGTGAACACGCAAAACAGAGGGGTAGGGCTAAGTGGTCGGGGTGAGGGGTGAAGTTGGACTTGGTCTATAATTGAGTACAACTGGTAAAAAGTATGTGCTAATTTTATAAGGCAAATTACAAATTTTGGGCTGTTGTAAAATATAAAATTCTTATAACATACCAAAATATTTATATAAATACAATCAAATTGTAGTGAAATTGGAGATTTCATTTATCATTTCCTGAATAACTGTACTCACACTGAATTATTTTGCGGTCAGACACTCACACCTGTTCTTGTGTGAATGAAATGTCCCTGTCTGTTTTCCACAGGCACGGACCTGCTCCAGGTGGCCGCTCACGAGTTTGGGCACGTTCTGGGCCTGCAGCACTCTCTGGTGCCTGGGGCGATCATGTCCCCCTTCTACAGCGTCTCCTACCCCTTGCAGCTCAGTGAGGACGATAAGAGGGGCATCCAGTACCTGTATGGCCCCAGGCATCCAGGGACAGGCACTGAGAGACCACCTGAGAGAGAGCCAGAGACACAGCCAGAGAGCCCAACAGAGACACCAATAGAGAACAATGACATTTTTACCCCAGTGGTGAGCCATGGAATTCTGATACTGTCACTTAAGCCTAAAGTTATTAAAGTTATTGATAATCTATTTCAATGTTACATTTGCATTCAATTTACATCCTGTATTGTCAGATTTTAATCCAGTATTTAATGTCAGAACGACAAAAACATATGTGAAGAATGTTTTTTTTCTTTCCACAAAAGACTGTACACACAGTAGCTTTTCAATCAAATTCATATCCTAATAAAATATCTCCTCTCTCCCTCAGCTTGATGCTTGCCTCACAGATTTCGATGCGGTGTCTATGATCCGCGGTGAGCTGTTTTTCTTCAAGTCGGGCTATGTGTGGCGCATACGTGACGGGAGGCTCCAAGCTGGGTATCCTGCTCTAGCCTCCAGACACTGGAGGGGAATCCCTGATAACATCGACGCTGCCTTTGAGGACAGGTCTGGAAACATCTGGTTCTTCCAAGGTGAGTCGAAGCACATTAGAGCTAGTGATTAAATTTAGTGTAAAGCCAGTGCTGCGATGTTGAAGAGCTTAAGGCAAAGTCAACGTCAAAGTTTATATCATACGTGCAGTGTTCTCCACAGCTGCACAACACTATATACACAGGCAGAAGAAGACAATATACAGAGAATATACTAAAAAAAAAATATACTAAATGACTGGTTAAAGCTACACTATGTATGTTTTGGGGATCTGGAGACCTCTGGTGGAAACGTGTAGTTGCATGCAACATGCGGCAGAACATTTTGTGAGTGAATTATCTACTATTATCACCATATCTTCATCAGTATAATGTTGGTTTTGCATTTGAAATCTAATCATTGAGCCAGACCTTCTTTTTGTGCATGACACTGCGTTTACATGCACTTAATAATCCGATAACTGCAGAAAATCAGATTTTGTCAGTAATCCGATCAATGTGTTTACTTGCACTTGAGTAATCAGACAATGGCGAATCTCTGGGTCTACATGAGTCAGGCAGTAATCAGATTTCTGCTTTGCAACCAGCCAATAAACTCACAGAAGTAAACGTTACGTAAACATCAAACTTCATGTTGCGGCTTTTTAAAATATCATATCCCTTTACCTGAAAATATGAATATATTTCATCTAGAAGATGAAGGAAGTCCTTAATTTTGTCAAGCATGCGTTTGGTTTCAGCGTCGCTCCAAAAGTGTTTTGCTGTATCTCGCGGCAACACTGCTTACTTATTTCCAATACCATCGCCCGTTTTTACACATGTGCAATCCGAGAAATCCGAAAGAAATCAGAGTAAGAGTTTACATGCACACAAATCTGATTACTGAGCTAAAATCCAGCTCTCTTTATCAGTTTTCTTGCATGTAAACGCACTTAATAATACATATAGACATATGATGTGGTTTGAAAAACTCCCACGACACATTTTTCCTAGTATTGTAACTTCTTTTGGTTTAAACAAAAAAACGTACGTAGTGCTGCTTTCATAAATAAGAATATGTGCAGTTTTAGTATTAATGTTATGTAATATGAATAAATGTGCACATGTGTATAGGACTGGAGTTAAGTTTACTATGGTAGTGCAAGGAGAAAAGACTAAAACCAAAGGGTAGCAGTTTAGAATGCAGATACAGAATTATACAAAAACTAAAATAATAAATAAAATAACGCATTAGTAAGTATGCACACGCGCAGTGACAGTGTATCTACAGTAACCATAAAGTGCCAAGTGAAAACCAAAAACCGTCCATGAATGGCAAATTGGCAAAAGTGATATGTGAAGAGAATGAAAGTAATGTATGGTATGTGTATTATATTGTTTTTTATTGTTTTATGTATTTGATAAAAAGTAATTTGTATTCTTGTTTTGTAAAAAGAAAAACAACATCTTTTCCATTTTTTGCCCCATTTCTATCATTTTTTCACACTGAAACTAAATATTTGGAAGTGCGAACTTGAACCCATCCATACAAACATAATTCATTAAGTACCTAAATAGTTAGTTGTTGAATTATATATAAATAATTATGTAATGCAAATTGAATAAATAGCAAAGGATCATTAGATCATTAGAATAGCATCATTGGTTATATACGCAAGTGGACAAACATGTCAGTGTCTCATAACAGACTGATGGATGGTTTGAATATCTAGGTCATGTTTATGAGCTGATTTGTCCACTAAACCTCCCACTTGTGTTCTGTTTCTGGGTGGCCTAATTAGCCTGTCTACCGCTCAATCCGCCCAATAAACTGACCGGTGGAGTGTGGCTTAATACCTAGTGGGGACAAGAGGTCATCCTTGTTTGGCTTTCCATATAAACAATAAGCAACAACATCCCATGTTTATAGCCTAAAAAGCGCAAAAAGTTGTGTGATTTGTCAAGATATAATCTGTTTACTATGCTCCGTATTCCGATCATTCTCCTTTTTAACCAGAAGAGATCCGGTTGTTTTGCTTAGACCACTTAAATGCAATGACATACTTAAAAATGATGGGTCTTCAAAGGTTCTTTAGTAAAGAAAATGGTTCCATATAGAACCATGAACACTGCATTGCATGACTAAAGGGTTCTTTGCATCGTGAAAGGGTTCTTCAGATTGATGGAGAATGCGCTTTAGATGGTTCAATTGAGAACCTTTTTGAAAAGGGTTCTACCTAGCACCAAAAAGGGTTCTTCTATTGTAACAAGCTTGGCATGGTAACAATAGAAGAACCCTCTTTAGTATTATATAGAACCATTTTCAAAAAGGTTCTATATAAAACCATCTGCAGCACATTGTCCATCAATCTGAAGAACCCTTTAATCATGCAAAGGGTTCTTTGAGGGTTCACGTTCTATCGTTCTATAGAACCATTTTCTGTACTAACATACCTTTGAAAAACCATCATTTTTAAGTGTGTAGTTAGTTATGTAACGAATTACATTTGCATTATGCATCAACAGGTTGATATCTGTGCTTCTTTCTTTTTTCAGTGTATATGTTCACAGATCAGGCATAACATTATGACCACCTCCTTGTTTCTACGCTCATTGTCCATTTTATCAGCTCCACTTAGTAACGTCAGTAACACTGATTGGGTGGTGGTGTGTTAGTGTGTTGCGCTGGTATGAGTGGATCAGACACAGCAGTGCTGCTGGAGTTTTTAAACACCGTGTCCACTCACTGTCCACTCTATTAGACACAGGACTGACTACTTTGTCAGTCCACCTTGTAGATCTAAAGTCAGAGACGATAGCTCATCTGCTGTGTTGGTCACCTCTAGTCCTTCATCAGTGGTCACAGGACGCTGTTGGCTGGATATTTTTGGTTGGTGGACTATTCTCAGTCCAGCAGTGACACTGAGGTGTTTAAAAACTCCAGCAACACTGCTGTGTCTGATCCACTCAGACCAGCGCAACACACACTAACACACCACCACCACATCAGTGTTACTGCAGTGCTGAGAATGATCCACCACCCAAACAGTACCTGCTCTGTGAGGGTCCATGGGGGTCCAGACCCCTGAAGAACAGGGTAAAAGGGGGCTAACAAAGTATGCAGAGAAACAGATGGACTACAGTCTGTAACTGTAGAACTACAAAGTGCACCTATATAGTAAGTGGAGCAGATAAAATGGACAATGAGCGTAGAAACAAGGAGGTGGTCATAATGTTATGCCTGATTGATCGGTGTATGTAACAACTTTTTGATTTTTAATAACTTACTGCCATAATACACAATGTAGTCCATGAATGTGCTTCTTTAACAATGGCTTCAGAACTACAACTATTCATCTTACACAACTGTGTTTAGAAATCTGCACTTTTAACAAGATGCTTTTCTTATTGGTGGCAATATGTTTTTCTTCAAGAGGATAAAATGTACTCTGTTATTGAAATTGAGGTATCATTGGTCAGTATAACATGTCTCCATCATCAGAACACGGCGACATAACCAAACGTCAGAAGGTGTTTAAAGGCGTCTACTACACTTGGGGCGCACAAGCTCCCATAGCTGAACAGGCGTGTAATGTAGATGTGGTCTGTCCTCTTCCCGTGGTTCTGCAGGTGAGAGATACTGGGTGTTTGATGCGGAGAGGCAGATCACAGGGCCTGACTTGGTCGAGCGGCTGGGCCTTCCCATCTCACACATCCAGGCAGCCCTGACGTGGGGCACGGGCAAGACCCAGAAGGTCTACTTCTTCAAACAAGGAAGCTACTGGCTTTTCAATCCAATGGAGAACCGCGTGGAATCGGCTTACTCTTACAACATGGCCAAGTGGAGGGGGATTCCCAATGACATTGACGCTGCCTTCCGGGACCACTATGGTGAGAAGACAGATGCTATTCCGCTTTCAGTGCTGAGTCAGTTTCCTTATGGCATGCGTCTTGCGAGTTACTTGTCTCATCTTGATCATCTAGACTGTAAACACTGAGGACACTTAGTTGGGATGTTAATGACGTAAATTAGTGACTTGCTGGAGTTTGAAGATTTTCTCATTAGATAGTATGATTACCAGAAATTACAAGATCGGATCAGATTGAGTCCAACTTCTACAAAAGAAAGAGCAACAGATGAAATGTAGATGAAAGCTTTGTATCATGCATTCACTATTGTTTTTGGGGGGGTTGGTTTGCAGGCTTTGCCCACTTCCTGAGAGGGAACCAGTACTGGAAGTTTGACCCGGTGGAAGAGAGGGCTCTGGAGGGATACCCACGCTACATTGGCATGGACTTCTTCAACTGCCCTTCATCCATGTATAAATAAACCTCAGAAACAAACAGTACTAAACCGACTTGGGTCACATTGCTCCAAAAACATTGCAGTATTAAAGGAATTGTTTAGCAAAATCATATCAAACTCGCATAATTTTCCCCCTGACACCTAATATGGTCCATCAGCCAAGACATGTTTGGTGTTTGAAGTTTGATTATTTAGGTTTGCATTTGAGCTACGAGGCCAGTGTAGCTAACAAGTAACCAGTTAGCCGTGTGCAAAGTGCATGTCTTAATCAATCTCAAACAGACTTGCTTTTGCAGTTTCTGAAAATTCATCACAATCTTATCACAAGAGACATTTTAAATGGGAATTCTTTTGACTTTATGTTTGATTCAGTAGTTAAGAATGGACAGTTACTGGGTCTCATCCACCAACATCTTTCTTAAACATTTCCCTGATAAAGGTCCTAAGAAAAAGTCTACATCAGATTCATGACATTCTTAAACCACGGAACGGTTCACACCTTTGTGCTCTTGAGTGTGTGTGTGTGGATTTCGTTCTTACCAAAAAACAATCACAAATAAGAAAACACTGGTGAAAGTGAGAATCTTCATAAAAAGTGGGTTTTAAGAAGAAATTTGTTTTTTAAGAAATGTTGGTGAATGAGGCCCATTCAAAGTAGTTTGATGTGAAATGGCTAATCGTAGAGAAACTTAGACAATTTTTTGTGATAGGACCAGTGACCTAGACATGCCATCTGCATGTACCTGCATATACCTCTTTGCCATGAATGTTTTTTAAAAATGTATGTTTTAGGCCAAAATCTTAATCCTAAAACGATGTCTCTGGCATCACACAATTAACCATTTCATGTAATATCTTTGTGAGGGAGCTTTTAGAGGCATCAAATGCTTTGGACATCTGGTTCCTATCACCACCACTGTGAATGATTCTGGCACGGTACATTTCTCTAGGATGGGACATTTTACATCAAAGCACTCTGAATGACTTTGTTTACAGCTTAGTGGCTTAATTATGCAGAAAATTAGTGGAATTCCCCTTTAAAGTCTGAATTTTGTTTGTCAGTACGTCATACAGTGTCAGAAACCACATAAGTAAGTCTTAGGCCCAATCCCACTTCTTATTTTTACCCCTACCCCTTGTTTTCGAATGTCACCTTGCCTTTTGGAATTGAGTTACAAGGCGTAGTGGTTGAAATCTTCCTCTATGAAATGGAACTACTCTCAAATAAAAAAAGGGAATCATTTCATTAACAGACTACTAGTGATGCTCTGTAGGCGACCCTGCCAGTCTGCAGTGACAGCAGAGGAGGATAAAGTTCAGCTCCTCACTGCTGGGCCTCAGTTACATTTTGGGGAATCATATGCCTCCAAAGAGGGGGGTATGCGACAATCATTTTGAAGTCAACTATTCACTGGCTTCTTGTTCGAACCTGCTGCACCATTTAAGGTAGAACGGGAAATTTAGCTAGCTAGCTACCGAGACATCAGTACACTACTAGCAATTTTTTATGCTTGTTATAAAGAAAAGGACCATAATAACAGTGGTTATTATAATTTTTTAACAGGGAAAATTCTCACATTCGTGGGTTTCTTTGGTTGCTTGTGCCGCCATCTTGCCAGTTTTTCTTTTTTTCTCACAACACTCCGTTTGGAGAGCCATGTAGTCCCAACACTTAACCCTACCCCTCTGTCTCAAAAAAGTTGGTAGAGGCGAAGGGTGAAATAGGATTAGGCCTTAGTTTGCATGCTGCTAAAATGGTCAGTAATAAGATTCCACTACCTGTTAGCTATGTTAACCTAGCAGCTCCATGGCAGGGCCAAAGATGCAGACTTCAGACACCAAACGCGTTAGTTGATCATTTACATTAAGGACAAAGGGGGAAATTTTGCAAACCTGTGTTTGCTGAGCTGTTGCTTTAAGATCACCTTTCCTGTTTTCCCAAGTATTGAAAGTGACAGACGTTACACTATGTTATAATGAGCTTTGTGTTTTTGAGGAACGAGACCCCAAACTATAATCAGATGTTGTACACTGTTATTCATTCAATCCTCACCCACCCTAAGCCCCGCCCTTATAAAGGTAAACACTGCACCGTCAAAGCCTTATAACAAGTGCAGTCCTACGTATATCTTCACTGGATCAAACAGTTGCTTTTCTGTTTTGCAATTCCGCCAATTCCACCAATTCCACCCAGTGGCTTGAGCGATACTCAAGTACATCTCTGCCACTTCGAACTGACAAACCTTTTTGACCTTCATGATTTACCGGTGGACCTTTTTTTAAGCGACATGCAACACTGACACGTCTCAGGAAAAGCACAAAACACTCTGGCCTTCTGTTTTTCTTTTTTTTTTCTATGAACTCGATTATTTATTGCCTGTATATTTTGTCATCAGTGTTGTAGTCACAGAGAGCCTGACATCTTTTTCTTTGTGAAGTGCCAAAAAATGAGAAAGCGCACATTTGTTATTCAAACTAGCAGCTTTTGTTCTGAATTGCTGATTAGTTTTGTTTTTTATAATACAGGTGCTAAAACGAACCACACAGGGAAGGTTTTTGTACCTCTATTGTCACAATTTTGTCAAAGGAAAGCTCAGGCATGTTACAGTGTTGAGTCAGGAGACAAAAAAGAAGGCCAAAATGTGTTTTCGCATCAGCTTTGGAATCTCTGTCTGTTAAAAGCAGTACTCACAGGCCATTCCTGATTTCAGATGCCTCTCCTGAATGCTGATGTTGTAGTGTGGTGCGGTGCAGGCCACTGATGCCACAGCGTCCGTCTTTTTCACAGTTTGTGTTGTACTTCGTGACTATGATCAAACTTTTCTACTTTGCTGGGGCTCAGGAAGCAAGCTGTACTCTAAACCGAGCAGAAGCACTGGTACTGTTAGTCGTAGATTAAAACCCGATGTACAGCACTCTATTACTGTCATTATAATCTGTCATTGTAACCATCTGTGTTTTTCTCTGCTTAAATCTAAGTCATATTTACTGTGTAAATAGTTTTGTAAAAAGAATTGTATTATAATTTTTGCTCCAATAAAGGTCCTTTTCCTTGTATATTATACATTCTTTGTTCTTTATGTATAAATGTATTTGTATTAGCACTCTTAAAGGAGTAGCTCATCCAAACATGCTAACATGGCGAACAAGGAATGGAAGCTAGAACTCTTCAAATAGCATTATTTAAATTACATAATGCTAACAATGAGTGTGTTTACATGAAGTCAATAATCTGATCACAATTGGATTTCTGCAGTTATCTGATTATTCAAACAGTCATGTAAACAGCACTCTAATCCGATAAAGAAAGCTGGATTTAACCCAGTAATCAGATTTCTCAGTGCATGTGAACTCTTACTCTGATTTCTTTCAGATCTGCGCATGTGTGAAAACAGACGGTGTTACCAGAAATAAGCAAGCAGTGTTGCCGCGGGACGCAGCAAATCAGCCTTTTTGAAAAGGGTTCTACATAGCACCCAAAAGGGTTCCTCTATTGTTACAGCTTGACACCCTTTTGGTTGCTATACAGAACCATTTTCAAAAAAGGTTCTACACAGAACCATCTACAGCACATTCTCCATCAATGTGAAGAACCCTTTCAAGATGCAAAGAACACTTTAATCATGCAGAGGGTTCTTTGAGTGTTCATGGTTCAAGATAAAACATTTACTTTGCTAAAGAACCCTTTTTAGAATTATTTTTCCCCTCACATTATGAAAGTATTAAAGCGCATACACTCTCAAAAAGATTATTTAGAAGAGTTCTCTATGGTTCTATGAGGCACTGAAAAGGGTTCTGCTATAGTCATGATATCGAGCTTATAACAACAGAAGAACCCTTTCGGGGGCTGTATAGAACCATTTTCAAGAGGCTGTATATGGAACCACATATCACACAATCTCCATCAATCTGAAGAACCATTTCGCCATGCAAAGAACCACTTAAGCATGCAAATGGTTCTATTAAAGCCATGAGTTCTATATATAACCACTGCATGCCTAAATGGTTCTTTGCATGGTGAAAGTGTTCTTCAGACTGATAGAAAATGTGTACGGTTCCATATAGGACCTTCTTGAAAATTTTGTAGCATCAAAAAGGGCTCTTCTTTTGTCACAATAGCAAGCTTGTAACAACAGAAGAACTCTTAAGCATTAAATAATGCTGTATATAACTCATTGTTCTAACTAGAACCATTTCATTTACTAAAGAACCCTTGAAGAATCAATTTTTTATGAGTGTAGTGTTTACAGTTAGAAGTGAAAAGAGATCGTTTCTTCTCCGTTCATGAGGACGGTCTGTTTTTAATATGTCCAAGCAGTGGTCATGGTGTGTAAATGGATCGCGGCTGTTCTGCACTCTGCCCTGCACGGAACATTCCAGAACCGTGTCACGCTGGTTTGTTTTTCCTCCTTCTAGTTTTGGACAGACCTGACTGCGTCGTTTTATTTTGTCCAGCTATGTTTAATTTTCCTTATACGTGTTTCATTTTTCACATTTGTACCTTTAGCAAAGCAGACATTTGTAGGGCCTTCATAGGCCGATTAACCAGTGTGTTATCACAAGGATTTGCAGCAAAGGATATTAATAATCGTGTTTGCTGAAAGAGATCAGCTCAATCTTGATGTTTCCTCAGCCAATAAAGCCACTTTGGGAGCTTTCTTTGCAAGCACCTGCGGTAAATCTTATCAAGAAGCTCTTTGCAGGAAAACAACGGATAAAAATAAATGTTTTCTTGGGTATTTTTCTGGCATTAATGCCTTGATACAGTGCAATGATCCACTGACCCCCTTTTATGGCAGAAAACAGATGGTACTGTGAAAATGCACTGTACCATGTAAACCAGTCGTTTGCCCGTATTGGCCCCGATCCTATCTCACAAAGCTGAGCTGCCTCATAACTCACTGGCAGTCTTCAGAGAATTGGATGCTGTATACTTGATTGGTGAAAAGAAAGAAACAAACTCATTCAATGTCCTTTGCTTTAGATGCCCCCTCTCGTCCTTAAAAGCAGCAAAAGTCACTATACTTCGATCAAAAATGATGGAGAAATAAGAAATCTGTCTTTTTAATCAGATGACACAATGCACTGTACTGAATAACAAGGTAAAAAAAGGTCCATTTTGATTTCAGGTTGACTTTAAACAGCAGACAGTTGTTATGACGTTTTATGTAGTAACAGCTATGAATTAGTCAGTAGCTGCTATAAATTATTCAGTAAATAGTAAGAAATTAACCCGTTAGCATTCCAGGGACCTCGATGCAAACTAATGGAGCTAATATTAGGTTATAGAAGTGTGTAATAAAACTTTGGGCCTGCCAGTGAGCCCATGACTTGTTAAGGGATTAAAGGCATTTTTTAATCCATGCAAGCACATTTTAGAGGCAGTCTTCAGAGAAATGAAGGTTCTGTTCAGGTACATTTTTCATTCATCAAAGCACAATAATGTAAATGTTCCCTCAAAGGTACAACAGTGGTTTTAAGGTCCAATTGTGAACCTTAAATAAGTTTTTGCAGGTGAAAAGTTCGTATT